AAAATTCAATAAAAGTATAATTTCTACCACAGTATCTATCTAAACAAAAAATGTAAATCCTTGGTGGAAATTATAATTAAGTAAATTCTCTTTTGAAAAAAAAAAATAGGTTGAATGGCTAACTTCGACATAAAATTTGAGTAGGACCCGGTTGGTTATTTTGGAAGTTCAAGATTGATTTGTGTTCTCCTCCGTGAGAACATCGAAAACATGTATTTACTTGCCAAAAATGATGTTCGGGTGAATGAGAAATTAGAGCTCAAAGTTTCCCAATTGAAAGGAGTTATGTTGGAGAGAAAGCATATAAGGTTTATCTCACTTAGGAAAATTATGAAAGCAAATACAACCTCAAATAGGATTGCACTTTTGGAATGTGTGATCGTGTGTAGCATAGAGGCTCTCTCTATATGCACATGAAGGGGGGTAAATCGAACTGAAATAAGTTTTGGATGTGGAAATTGACCCCTTATAAGAGCCTACGTTTTGCTAATTTTTTTCCTCCAACTAACCGTTTGAATTCCAAAACCGTTGAAACTCCAATATTCATTGTCATTATATACGAGTTAATGGTATTCATGGTATTGAGCCTATAAATATGCAACCAGGTTTCTACTATTCCACAGAAGAGGAGAAAATAAAAGAGAAGCAACACATCACACACTCTCTCTGCCTAATTTCACAGAACACGATTTCTGCATAAATTTTAATAGATTATATAGTCTCGTGTCTATCTAAAAATTGTTTGGTGATACTGATCAACACAAATTTTGTTAGCTCGAGTAGTATTTGAAGTGCTCAAATTCTACAGTTCCTTCGTTGTACCTTAGGAGACAGACGTCCGAATTAATCCTCAAACACCTACGGTGAGGGGCTGAATCTGTTTTAAGGAAACTGTGTTCACACGTGCCTCAGTTAAAATTTCTTGCTTTTGGCTAATTAGTTTATTCTTTCTGCTTTATTGGAATTTAATTTGCTATATTTTGGCTAACTAGATTAATTTGTTCAATTTATTACAATTTAATTTGTTATATTTTGGGTAGTATCCAAGCTCATTACATAAACAGTAAGCTGTATATACGGTAAGTTGCATATACGGTATACGTAAATATGGTATATTGCATATATGGTATGTGTAAATCCAGTATATGTAAATTCGGTATATGTTCATCCAGTATTTGTTAATCCGATATTCATCTACTAACATTTAGTCCAGCATTCCCAACATAGCCTTGCAAAGCCGATACTGAGGCGAGGCAAATGAGGCCCAAGACCATAAGGGTCCTAATATTAGCCCATAATTTTTATTTTTTTCAAAACAAGGCCAAATAGCCCAGATCCAATTGTGTGGGATTTGATGTAAATTTATTGAAGACGAGATTTAAAATGGTTAAATTTGGGTTTATTTTCTTGAAAATGGTGTGGGATTTGATGAATTTTATTAATGAGTGTCTATAAATATTCATGTCGTCATCTTATTTTAGTACAAAAACTTTGTGAAGGTAGATATTTATGTAATTGTATTTGTTAAATCCATGTCATTGTCTTATTTTGGTTAAAAAACTTTGCAAAGATATTTCTACATTTTACAATTATTTAATGGAAAAATTGCAGCCGAGGTACCAAACCTTTCATTTATTAACAGACTTTGCCTAAACCTTTCATTTACGCCACCGAAGGTACCAAGCCTTTCAAAAATGCACACCCGAAGTCCAAATGGATGGAAACCGTTAGTTAATCCATTAGTTAACCTAGAGTTAACATTTTGACCAATTTTTGACTGCATTTTAAAGGGCAAAAATGTAACATTATGTTTTTATATTAAAGAATTAAAATAATTAAATAAAAAATCCAAAAATAAAATAAAAAGAAAAGAATTTCAAAAACTTTTGTTCTTCTTCTTCCCTACGCAGCCGACCCCGACCTACCTCACCCCACCCATCCCACAGAAATCAACCAACGTCCACCCATCCCAATCGCACCAACCACTGCCATTCACCACTCCTAAATCGGTCGACGACCATCATCCACGGTACCTAAATCACCGCACAACAATTGCCAGCAAATCACATTAATCAGGAGATGTAAAAATCAAACACACCACCCACCACCATCCCCTTCTTTCCCGAACCCTTTACCCCAAAACCACCAGAGGTTATCGCTGGCGACACCGCCACCATATGTCGGCCACCATTCCATCTGGATCATTCAGGCCACCCTCGATAGCGGTGGCGCCTCCAAATAGGATGAAGCGGGGGCCGTGGTTTTTGGCGTCAGCAACGACGGTGAGAGTGTGTCCACAGCGAGGTCTGGGGGCATCCTCATCGTTGCCCCAATAGGTCTCTAAAGCGCGACAGGTCAGAGCAAGATGATGGACTTGCTTAATGCAATAACGATTAAGCACTGGACTTGCTTATTGCAATAAAGTTGTTGGGTCTAAATTCGATGTGTCTTTTTCCTCTTCTTCTTCAATAGGTAGTAGTGTTAATGGATTATTGCTGTGATGGTGGTGGTGTTAGTAGAGGATGGCAGTTAGGGCGGTGATCACTGGGATGGAAGAAGGGTAAATGTAGAAGATGAAGATTTTTGGGTTTTTAATTTAATTATTTTAATTCTTTAAATTCTTTAATATAAAAACCTAATGTTACATTTTTACCCTTTAAAATGCAGTCAAAATTGGTCAAAAAGTTGACTAGGTCAACTAACGGATTTACTAACGGTTTCCATCCATTTGGAATTCGGGTGCGCATTTTTGAAAGGTTTGGTACCTCCGTTGCACAAATGAAAGGTTTGGACAAAGTCTGCTAATAAACGAAATGTTTGGTACCTTAGTTGCAATTTTCCCTTATTTAATTCTATATCTGCTTTAAAAGGAATAGAAAGTCGTATTTTAATAAGTATGTATATTTTTGTTTAATTTTAGTTGATAAAAAATCTTTAATCAATTATGCCGATTTCTTAATCTGCACTTCCACACTTGGCACAAGTTCCTTCACTCTATGATTAAATCTTTGGTTTTGTTATTTTATGATATAAGTCATTTCTATAATATATTTGGTTGTTGTTTAAATGTTAATTTTAGGTTAGCAATAGGTTGCATAATACATTGTTGAATTTTACATTTACGTTAATTTCGTCGGAGCCTAATCTGTGAAATTCGCCTCAGACTCCGACAATTACAGGACCGGCTGTGTAGCCTTGCTCTTATATAGATAGATTGGGCAATGCCATATTTTTATATACTTAATTTGTGATTTTGTTGGAGAGAGCTTAATTTTAGTGAGAGCCGTCCATATCAACATGCTTTTATGCCGTCTAAGAGGGTGTTTGGAATAGATTAAAATTAGATTTTTTTAAGTAAATTGTGATATAAGTTTTTAAAATGTGTGGTTGAAAAGTTGTGCAACCTATAAAAGATATGATTAATATTGATTAATTGACTTTGATTTAAATTAAAATCATATTTTAATTCGTACCAAACGGGCTCAAAGTCAAGTAGATATTTTTTTATTTTCAAAGAAATATCTATTAGAATTTCTGGTCTTCCATTCATTCCAAAAACATAACATTGTGAGATTCTGACACGACATGATAAGCCCTCGTTTATTTTTTTGAAATTATAATTTTTGAGATAGTATTTTTTCGGAAAATGTGTAGTTGAAAAAACAAAATTGGTTTATGTATAATATTATTTTATTGAAAAATGTGTAATTAAAAAGAAGATAGAGAAAAATGTATTATAAATTTAATGGGGTCAAACGGGGTATTAATATGGTGCAAACAACTCTCCAACTTTCAATTTCTTGCAGATCACGCCATGTTATCCACTACGACCAGCTTAATAAACGAAACATGTTGACTCGACGTTAAAAATAATGAATAATTGACATAAAGCGTTCTTTCAATTTATATTGTTTTTAAGATAGATATATATATATATATATATATTTTATTTTTTTTAAAGATGGATGCTGTGCGTTGTTGTGTAACATGGACATATTTGATAATTATACATTAGTTTTAGCCCCCTATTCGATGACCATTAAAAATCAAATTTTGAATGGTAAACTTTTGGAAAACGCATTGTTAAAAAGTAGAGAAAAATTTTGCACTTACATGCAAAATATTTTATTAAGTAAATGTGTGATTGAAAATGAATGTTTTCAAATAATAATGGTTGTCAAACAGAGGTTTAACGTACAAGTCAACACATGACATTAGTTGAATTGACGGAGCAAATCATAGAATGATCAGATTTGCATATAAATCAAAGTTGGCTAACTTGACTATATTACATTAAAGATAAATGACTAAAAATGTAAGCAAATGAAAGTTAAGTGATCTAGTTACACTAAATTGAAGATCGATGATTAAGATGTACTCCCACTCAAAGTTAGGGACCTGCAGTGCATTTAACTCTGCGAATGCAGGAAAAAGCCATTTGAAAATCTTAACCATTGCGGCCTCGATTATTTGAAATTTTAATGGTTAGAATAATATTTTTTTGAAAAATGTGTGATTAAAAAGGAAGAAAATTTTTGTAATTATGTGCATATTATTTTCAAATGACTTTTGTTCCTCATGTTTGAGACCATCTCCAATCCTGCATCAAAATCTGCCCCATTTTGTATCAAATTTTGCACCAAATTAAAAATCATCTCCAACTCATTACACCAAAATTTGTACCAAATGAACAGTGTTTAGTCATTTTCTTCATTTCTTTTATTTTTAAGAATTATATAGTTGAAAAATTATTGAATTATTCGATTTACTATTACATAAATTACTACGTACATAATTACATTATGTTTACGAGAATATGAAATTTTTTAATAAATTTTAAAAATATAGTACAATTAATAAAAATGGTAATTAGCACAAGACGTCCTTACTTTCAATGTTATTATGAAAAACGTCCCTATTTTTCATTTTTTTGACATTTTACCCTTACATTCACCTTTTATTGCGAACATCATCATTTTCATCAATTTACAATTCGAATCTCAAAATTGCGGTATGGAGAAGTCGACCTAGTGTTATAATTTAATTATCACAAATCTTATATTCATCCCACAAATGTTCAATTGATGCGTTTTGTTTTGAGTACTTTTATTTTAACTAGTCAAAAGTAAACGTGCGTTGCACGTTGTTTTGAATTGCTTTATAAGTGTCGTAAAAGTAATAGTTGAAGATGCTTTTGGAAGATAGTTGAGAAGACTTGTTGATGTGAAATGAACTTTTTATTCAATGAGAATATCTTTTTACACTATATTTTTTGTATGATTAGGGATATTCGATTTAACTAAAATCTTTGTAGTTGTCATAGAAATTCCTCTTGAAAGTGCAACGTATAACTGTCCATGTGAGAATACATGTTGTGGAAGACATATTCCTACGTGAGGTATTGTCTGTCCTTGGGCCTTGTTGATTGTCATTACAAAACATAGACGTACAGGAAACTGTTTCTGTACGAATTTGAATGGATATCCTTCATCATTTGCAAGACTTAATGGTATACGCGGAATGAATACATGTTTGCCAGAGTACTGCCCAGTAGTTATCTCTGCATGTATAACATGTGTACTGAATTGATGACAAACCATCCTACTCCCATTGCAGAGCCCATCTGAAGGATCTAGATTTCTCAAGAGCATTATTAGATAATTTATTTTCAACACTAATCGATGAGGTGGAACTCCATTTGGAAGTAATATGTTGAGAAACTCTGGTTGATAGTAATTATTTGTGTCATTAATTGCCATATCATAACTGAGGAACTCTTTAGTTTCACCCGGAAAAAGATCAATCATTTTTTCGTTATGAGATCAACGTTTTCATTTGTAGTGGATAGAATCGCTCTTTGTGTCATATATTCCGATGATTCAACATTATTTGGTAGGTCTGAGAAGACAAAGTTGATTAAATTGAGCTCTGGAGAGTTGTTGTTGTTGGAGGAAAGTACTATGTCTTTTGGAAGTGAGATGAAGTCTTCTCCTGCAGTTCGTTTTGTTCCATTGCCAATTTTGATCAAGTATTCTGCGAATTGATGATCATTTTGCGCTCTCATATCCTGTGTCAAATGTAGTTTATACATTTTTTCCCAAAGATATGATCGTACTAAACTTTCATTAACTATTTATTGTCTTGTTGCTCGAGGGACAACTGGAAGAACCTGGCGAAAATCTCCCCCAAATACCATTACTTTACTCCCAAACGGTTCAAAGTTGTTCGTGATGTCTTGAAAAGTCCTATCGACTGCCTCAATGGTTGCTCTCTTTGCCATCGGAGCTTCATCCCATATAATGAGTGCTGCTTGTTGTATAAGTTCGGCTCTACTGCCTTGCTTTAATATATGACATATTGATGATTCATTTGTTTGCAACGGAATGTTGAATCTGGAATGAGCTGTTCGCCCTCCAGGGAGTATATTATAGATTCGTTAATCTATTATTACTAATTATGCAATTAAAGTTTATTACGAATGATGATCATCAATAATAATAATAATATTATTATTATTTAACTACTTAATTATGAATTAAAATTTATGTACGATGTGAAATGACACAGATACCTTTCATATCAATTTGGTCATACATAAAAAAAGGGGCAAAATGGATTTTTATCACATTGCAAAATCATGACTTGCTCCATTCTGATGTAAAATGATGTAAGATTTGGTGTTGAATTAATGTGGTGTTTTTGGTAAAAAAATGGTGAAATTTTGTGAAAAATGGTGAAATCGTGTATGGGTTGGAGTTGTCCCGAGCACAAAAGTAGTAAACCAAAAACAAAAGAAAAATGACAGAAAGGGTAAAAGAAACACACATCATTTCATTCATGGCTCAAATCCCAACAATAATGTAACACTACACCACAAGAAAAGGAAACCACAAATTATCGATATGATAATCTTCTTTAGATTCTATTCGCTCTTGCATACGAAACATACTCCCATGAGACTCTCATTACCAAGTATTGAATATGACTAGATAAGAATAAATTATAACGTGTTTTTCTTTTTCAATCATGATAACTGTGATCAATCCAACTTACTAAATATATATTTTACAACGTGGTTATTGGATCAGACTAAATAGTATAAACATAAAAGAGAAATATAATCGATAAAAATTTCTTATTACATAAATTTGATCTTCCAAATACAACCACTCAAATCACGTGACAAAAAATAAAAAAAATACACCCCTATTTGGTGAGGATTGAAATAAGATTTTAGTAGATTTTGATAAAAGTTAATAAAATGTGTGATTAAAAAATTGTAGACCCTATCAAACATTTAATTATACTTAATTGTTGACTTATACTTAAATTAAAATTTTAATTTTAATTCCTACCAAGCATTAGCACAATTTCAATGATGGTAGATTTTTATTTTTTACTCAGTGTTCCTCTTCTTTCTATTAATCATCAAAAGATCACAATCAAAATTCAAAATGGTCAAATAATCCTTCCAAAATTAAAAAAGGTAATCCTCATGCTATTTACCCTTGGAGATTTGATTGAAAGGGAATTTTAATTTTCTCCATGTTTTTAGATTAACAAGCCTGGTCTAGTATAAAAAGTTTACTTATAAGTAAATAAATAAATTTTAATTTAAATTATTTTTTATTGATTGGAATTTAAAATAAGTAAAATACTTATTATAATTATTAATCAGTTATTTCAAAAATAGCAACTTTTTTAATTGAAAACAAGTAAATAATCTAAATACATGAAAAACCAAAAGTTATATAAAAGTAACTATAAACCCCAACCGCTATATTCATTATTTATGTTCAGCTCATTCTAAGCCCCCGTTTGATTCTGATTTTTCAAGTTAAAAAATTAATTTTTTAATCATTACTTAATATAGTCAGCGGTCATTTAGATCTCTTCACTTACAGGTGGGATCCAACTTTCAAACTAACGATCAAAAAATTAATCCTTATAATCAACACCTAACAAACGCTAATTTCCAAGACATGCAAACTCCCTATACATCAATGTAATATCCCCAGCCACCGAAAATAGTAAAATAAAAATATCTTCAAGAATATAAAAATATTTAGGTTGTCGTTGATTTGGCGTTTTTGAACCATTTTCCGTTTTCGAAAACGCGAAAAACGCGTTTAGTATGTCGTTTTTGAAAATGAATTTTTGAAAACGAAGTAAAATTTATAACTGAAAACGTAAAAAAACTTTTTATCGTTTTTTGAACGTTTTCAGTTATAAATTCCTAAAACACGAAAAACGCTCAAAACGCGTCATTTTCGGGAAAAATTAAAAATCGTTTTGAAATCGAAAATGAAAAATGGAAAACTAAACCAACTGCCCCCTTAATTTTTCCGTTGTCTTAGAACTTCAAAATAGATTGACAATTTTCAAATTTTAAA